TCGTTTATATTGTTTTTATTTTTGTAAGATATATTATTAAATTCAATTCCTAACCAATTTTTAATTCGCCCCATTATTTACATGTTAAGATAGCCTCGCTCAGCGTGGTTTCGCATTACGCTCTACTTTGAGGGAACGTATCCTACGCTTTAAGCGGGGTATTACTGTACTCGTATAATATACATAAATAAGAATCCAGCTACTATTTTGTCAAATATTAGACCCGGATTTTTTCTTAGGCCAAGCTTGATTTTTAAATCTTTGGGGACAGCTTGCAAGGAAAAGCGTTTAGTATTATAGATTTAGATCAACATGCTTCCACATATAGTATTATACTTCGCCTATATATCGATATTACCTTTTCCTGTATTAAATCGAATGTATGTTAAGAATATATAATCTGAAGAAAGTAAATTATGACGAGATTGAAATGCAAAAATCGGCTTATTTTTATTTTCGATGGTTTACTTAAAGCATATTATTTTTGATATGCAAAATAGCAATAAAATAGAATTGTGTTTTTATAGCAAAATATTTAATATTCCAACTTTTATTTCTCCAAGAAGAAAAGAAGTTGATAGAAGAGGTTGTTAACCAGATACTCGTACTATATCTCTAACAATTTATGAAATTAGCTTGAATAGACTGATATATATATATATATATTGTGATTGCTGGTCAAATTAAGCAAATCTTTCGTCTTTATTTTATATCAATTTCTAGCTTACTTTCTTAGGTTATTAACTAAAACAAAAAAATGTCGAGTCTAAAAATTTCAAAGAATAACTCCAATTCACACCAAAAATTGAGGCCAACATAAGTTAGTCTAACCAGGAAATTAAACTTATAACTACCATATATACAAAAGCAAGTTATTGAAATCTTAGTAATTACAGTAAAAAAATCTTATATCAAAAATAGAAAATAAATTCCAATTGCAAGCAATAGCTGTTAATCTTCAGTATGCAATAGAAACCCCTTTACTCTATATGAGCCACAATTTTCATGTTATAAAATATTGGCCTTTGAATGGCTTAATGTAAGAATATACTATTTTTCGATTATTCTATGTTAAACTTAACATAAATCCCAACGATTGAAACCAAATTCCTAAAATGCACACGTCATTCAATCGCACTATCGCTTCCTAGAAGGAAATGAAGTCACCTATTCCCGTGAAGTTACGTACCTGCAAAGGAATTCATTCGCAGCAAGTGTCTTCCTGACTACATAGGCGTATATATGTACATATGTATTTGAATTCTGCCACTAATACACGAAATTTAGTTGAACGCCTTTAAACCATACAACTACTTCACGTTTTTGTTGCTACTTTTTGACTTTGTTCAACAGTACACGGCGCTGTTTGGACTAATCGCGCTATTAGTCATCATCAGCGAGGTGTTGCGCGCATGGCGTTCACGAAAGTATCCGCGCGGACCCTGGGGTCTGCCCATACTTGGCTATTTGCCATTTCTCAATAAGCGCGAACCATACAAAACATTAACGGAATTAGCGAAGAGATACGGCCCGGTCTATTCGCTGCGGCTGGGCAATGTGAATGTGGTGGTGTTGGCCGATGCAGCGTCGGTGCGGGAATTTTTAAAGTGTGAGGAATTCACTGCGCGCGCACCGCTCTATGTAACGCACGGCATAATGGGCGGATTCGGTAAGTGTATATATTTTTCTATGTATATATGTATGCATATAAGAATGCGTGTTTGACAAAACTCAGAAGACTTAAGCAGCGAACTTGCGCCGCTTTTGCGTATGCGGTGAGAGCATGTCACCGTGTGCGTGTATGCATGTGCGCGCGCGTTTTCTGCATTGTCTCGCCAACTGGCAGGCAAATTTATGTGTTCGATGCAACGGTAACTTTCGATTTCATTAATTTCCTTCTTACTTTGAAATTCTGGCCTGCTAAAAACATTTATTTTTTTTTTATTGGGTACTTTTTGCCTTGTGGCTGCGCAGGTCTCATCTGCTCGGAAGGTGCGCTGTGGCGCAACCAACGCAAGCACGTCATCGACTGGCTGAAAGATCTGGGTATGACAAAAAAACAAGGCAACGCGCGTAAATCAATGGAGCAGAGAATAAAAAGCGGTGTTATAGAATGCATGAAGGTAACTAACAAACACACACACCAACATATGTAGGCACAAATGCAGAAGTAAGCAAGAAAAAAGACAAAACAAAAACAAATTGTCATGACTCAGCTGCGCGACGTCTGGCTGCTGGCTAGTTTAGTACTTCAAATTAATTCGCAAATTCATTGACATGAAAGTGTGCGACGGCAACAGCCCGAAAGCCAGACAGTCTGCAGCAACAACAACACAGGAAGAGCACACAGGCAACACTTTGCCTGCTATTGAAAGTGAATGTTTGCGAAATTCGTTTTTAAAATGCTTTTTCATTTGTTGTTTTTTGTTGTTGTTATGTTTTCGCAGTCTTTCAGAGACGATTCCAAGAAGCATTCGTCTTTCGATCCACACCACGCGCTGCAGCACACATTGGGCAACATCATCAACGACTTGGTGTTTGGCGTGAAATACGCGCGCGATGACGTCACCTGGAAATATTTGCTGCAGCTGCAGGAGAAGGGTCTTAAATTGATGGGCGTCTCAGGTGCAGTGAATTTCCTGCCTTGGCTGAGGTAGTACACTAACACATACACCATACTTTTTAATTAAGAAATTTTTGTTTTTTGTACAGATTCCTGCCCTGGAATATGCGTTCCATACGCTTCCTACTCGACGGCAAGGCGCGCACACATGAAATTTACAACAGCCTGATTGAGAAGCGTGAAAAGTCGTGGGAACAACGTAAAGCGGTAAGCGACGAGAACTTCAATATATTGGATCATTTCATTGATGAGCGCATGCGTCGTGAGGATTCCGATATTGCCGAAGAGCGTCTGTCCACTGACATCTACTACACGCAGGATCAGTTGCTGCATCTGCTCGCGGATATGTTTGGTGCGGGACTGGACACCACTTTGGCGACAATGCGCTGGTTTTTACTCTACATGTGCAAGTACCAGGAGGTGCAGGAGCAGCTCAGAACGGTAATTTATAATATATGCTTATAAATATCAGTTATTCCCGAACTAAACGACTGAATTTATAGGAACTTTTGAACATACCCGATAGCGATTTTGACTTGGAACATTTGGAGAAGTGTCACTTTTTGCGCGCTTGCATCTCGGAAACACAGCGCATACGCTCGGTGGTGCCTCTGGGTATACCACATGGCGCTGTGGAGGATTTTACCATTCAAGGCTATTTAATACCTAAGAATTGCATGATCATTCCACTACAGTGGTCTGCGCATATGAGTCGCCTCAAGTGGATCGAACCGGAATTGTATTGGCCCGGCCGGTTTTTGGATGACAATGACGAATACTGCCAGCCTGCGGATTTTATACCATTTCAGACGGGTAATACTCTATTCAGAAATGTATAAATCAAACACCAGCATCATTTTACCCAAGATTATTTTAGCAATGCTGCCAGCAGTTAAGTTTTGAAGTGGCAATAATGGATTTTTGTTGAACTATTTCTAAAAAAGAAAGTTCATTACGAATAAGTTAGAACTAATTACCTATGTATTTCGGATAAAATGGTTTAATTGAAAAATTTCGCCAACTCTACCCTCCGAACCGCTGAACCTCTGAAACCATTACCAACTTGAAATTCTTCTTCATATTCTCTTTAACATTCTTAAAAAAATAAGCTTTAACGTCGTTTTGCGAAAGCAATCTATTTATATATTTAGAATTAATGTTAGCTGCAAGAGGATCTTAAGGCAAAGGATGGAGTCAAGTTTTCGTTGGCCTTTAAGTAAATGTATCATACTATCTGATCAATTTGACCCGTACTGACCAAAAAAAAATACATTTTCTTGCTATGGCATTCAAAAACGGACTCCTGAACCAATACAAGCAGTGTGCTTTTTTTGATTTTTTCGGTCTTCTCTCATTTTTGGAGCGCCATTCGCTAGATGGTTGGACACTTTTGACGTAACATTCGTATATCCACGACTCATCACCAGTAATGATGCATTTTATAAAAGTAGGGTCTTCAACTACGTTGTCAAGCATCTCTTTAGCGACTTTTACTCACAAAAGATGCAAAAGATTCAGGTCTTTTTGTACCACTCTATCATTGACACACTTCATAACCAAAATATTAACCAAAATCTGTTAATCCATCATCATGTGTTGATCCATCATTATTATATTTAAAATGTTCCATTGTATTTTTCAAGGCAAACGCATATGCCCCGGCGAGGAGCTCGCTCGCATGATGCTCTTCCTTTACGCCGGTTACATAATACGCAGTTTCTACATTCGTTTGTCGCAGGAGCACGAATGCATGAGTGTGCGTGGTGAAAACGGCATAACATTAGTGCCGAAATATTATGAAATCGTAGCGACACCCATGCGCAACATGAAGGATCTAGTTAAGGACGACGACGTGGGCATGTACAAAGCTGTAGCGGTGAAGAAGGACATAAAATCAAACACAATTTAAGTTTAGTTGATATAAAATCTCTTTTTTGTCTTTAATGTATTTTTCTATGTAATTTCTTTTCAATATGTGTATGTATGTGTGAGTTGCTTGAATTTTTTTCATGAAAATTGGTTATTTTTACTGCAAACAATCTCATAACTAACAATAAAATTGCGTGCAAACGATATTTATATGTACAAATGCATGTGCTTGCATATAGGTATATATGTTTAACAAAAACAATAAAACATTGAAATGAAATTAAAAATTCATTAATTCTGTATACATTGCTAATAACACATACGTATGTACGCATGTATGCATGTGTGTCTATGTTTACTATGTGTGTGGTAATGTTGTTTTTGTTTTTTAATGTATTGCGAATTTGCATGCAGAATCTGCTGAATCCTGTGGCCTACACGGCGTATACGTAACTATTTGGTGTCTATTTTGGGGTTTGCCATTAGTTTTTCGCTATTTATTGCCATATTTGTGATGTGAAAAAATAGTTTTAGGTAAATTTATTTTATTTATTTACTATATATTTCCTATAGGTGCACACATTTTGCACACGCATGTATTGTGCGCTTAAAATTATGCTACAAAAACTATTTGGATATATTCGTTACATTTAATTAAATGGAGTATAAAACTAAACCACAGTTGTTTTAAACTTAAGCTGATGATTTCTTAAAACTAAATGTTTCGCTTATGAATTAACGTATGTATGTATGTAGTTATGCGTTGTACATATTCATTAATAATTTATACACAAAAAAAAAATATAAATGCATAAAACTACTGAACACAGCTTCTTGGGGGTGCTAGAATAGAACTTGTTGACAATTATTTGTTGGTTGCTTGCTTACTAGGCTGGTGTAGCGTTTAAACTAATAAATATATTATATGTAGAAGCGCATTTTTACCGTTATTTGGTAACAGCTGTTTGTGCGAACACAACAGCAACATAAACAGCTGCGCAAGTAACTGTAAATAAGCGCTAACTGTAACTAACTATGCTTACAAGCACTTGCAACGGTAATACAGTGTTTCACGGGTAAATAAACTCAGCGCAAATGCAAAAAATATGCAAAATTGCCCAGTGCATTTTAAAGCAGCAGCTTTAATAAAGCTTTTCTCATTTATCTGTGAAATATTGTATTATATTCGCTTTATATGTACTCAACTTATATGGTTTATTGTTGAAATTTTTATATAAAAATACTATAAAACAAATAGATATTGTCTTGTGTGCATCAAAAAAGACAGCTTAGTTTAAGCTACTTTTCTCATACTTACTCGCTTTCTACTTTTGCGCTTTAAAAACTAGAAAAATACATTTACTTCATTCTTCATTTTTCTGCTCTCTCTCCATCTGCTTATATGCAACAAATGCATATATTAACTATTTAAATAACTATATATAAAATATAGCAAAATTTATAAATCTTGTAGCTTATTTGTTGTTGTCATTTAAAAAAATATATATACTAAATATTTTGTTGTTTGTTTTATCGACAATTCGAAATCGTCAATTAGGAACAAAACCGTGCTCTGGCACTCCGAACGCCTGCAAATGTGTGCGCATAAATACTTGCAACATAGCGCATGAGCGCACACGCGCGCTGTCTTAACTTCACTACCGCTCTCTTTCACTCTCACTTGCGCGCTCGTTAGCATACGCGCGCTGTTGTGCGCGCACTACTTAGCGCATACGCTATTCAATCGCATGTAGTGGCCTGTAGCATACACTAGTGCCACTCTCACATCTCTCTCTCTCTCTCTCTCTGCCACTTAGTTATAGGCGCGCATGTCAAACATTTTGACATTTGATTTTTTCAACACTTACAACGTGCGTGCGTCTTGTACATCAGCTGGTGGTTTCATTGCATCAGTTTTCAGCGTGAGCGGCCGCGGCGTTAGACATACTTTGAAAGTTTCCGGTGTAATGGTGGCGCCAACATTACCCTTCAAACTGGGCAATGGTTGTCCTTCGGGCAGCGTAATTTCGAAGCTGTGCATGAACGAGGCGAAGAAGAGAAACAGTTCCATACGCGCCAACACATCACCCAAACACATGCGTCGACCCACACCGAAGGGTATAAAATATTCGGGTTTGCGCACTTTGCCTTCGGAATCGAGGAAACGACGTGGGTTGAATTCTTCGGGTTTCTCCCACAAATTGGGGTCCATATGTACGCTGTTGATAAGCGGTATGACATGAGAGCCGGCGGGGATTTTGTAACCGTTCAATTCAACATCTCTGCAAGAAAGAGAAGGAGAAAGAAATAGGGTGTTGATTAGTATAGTCAATATTTTCGTATACGTTTTGGTGAATAGTTGTGAGCAAACATTTTTACGAAGTAAGTATTATGTTATAGATATTAACTTTACTGTGATTATTTTATTAAAAAAATGTATTAAATAAAATGTGACAACGCTATATTCTAACAATGTCATCTGTCACTAATATTCATAAGCAACATTGTTGAAAGGTTTTGGTAAAATGTTGCTGAGCTCGCAAAAACCTTTTCCATTGCTTTTGCTTATATTTTCTTTGTATTTCCAGCTCATACATTTCTAAATGAAAACAAAAATATTAATTGCTTTTAGCTAAAATGAAGCGGATCAAGTGATTATACAGCGCTTCTCAGAAGTTTTAGATGCAATTCAATTGAAAACTGCGGCAAATGCCCGTCCGTGACAGCAAGTGAAGATCATAATGCACATATGGACGTATGCATATATGTTATATATGTACATATGTATGCATGTATATATATCGAAAGGCAAACACGCTACTGCTACTGGTGTAATCAGTGAAGCTGCGCAATTGCTTATATTTTTTGATTGCCACACACATTTCGTGCGCGCTTATCAGGTGCAAGTTGCGCCCCTCTTCTGCAGACAGCGCTGCTGACGCACACGACACACACACATATGCAACAAACTATCAGGCATGTGAACTTATTTTTCTTCTTTAAATTGCTTGTATGTATGTGTGTAGCAGCAGTAACTGACACGTTTCCAGCAGCAGCTGGTTTGCCCACCACTGCCGCGCTATCAGCCGTGAACGCGGGCAAGTGCGCCACAAGCAAGAAGTGCCAATAGACCGTCGCATGACTGCGCTTGTATCTGGCGTTGGCGTCGCTGTAGAGGCTAACGTCACAGCGGTTGCTGCGACTGTGATGCACGCTCCAAGTGCGTTTTTAATCAGCAACGCGCTGTGCAAAACTGGGCCAAATTACGCATCGCACAGCAGTGAACGGCGCGCGCCCATCCGAGTGCGCTTATGTATGCGCGTGTGTGCGCGCATTTGTTTGTATATGTATATACATACTTCGTTGCATTTGGCGCGTAGATTTTAGATTATTGCGTAGATTACATATTGACGCACATAGCATTTGACAAGTGCTTTGCATAAAAGGATGCGCTCGCTTGACAGCTGTGTTTGTCGCTGCGGGTTTGTATGTGCGTGTTTGTATTTTTGTGTTCGCAAAACGCTTTGATGCACGTCAACGTATCAATTTGACGGTTGATTGCCGTGTGTGTAACAATGAAAATGCGTAGATAGCCGCAGAGGGCATTGAACTTTGCTGATTGCCAATGCGCTGAGGCATTAGAATTTCGTTTGAAGCAAATGTAATGAAATGACGTTATAGTTAATCTTATAAAATTGTTGATTTGATTTTGCAATAAAAATAAAGGCAAAGTTAGTAGCAAAAATATTAAAAATTTCAAACAATTAAAAAAAATATTAAACAAAAACAATTAAAGAAAAATTGGGAAAAAAGTGTATTAAAAATTTTATTTTGAAAAAAATATAGATATATATCTGAAATTTCTTTTGAAACAAAAAATTATTTAAAAAAAATTAATTTTAAAATTTATCAAAATTATTTAGTTAATTAATTTAATTAAAATAAATATGGTGTAAATAATAAAATTTCATACAATTAATTTTGAGCAAAAAATTTTTTGAATTTTCATGATCGATAATAAAAATTACAAAAAATTCTCCTCAGCCTTTTCGCCGCGCTTTTTTATGAATGAAATACGTTGGCAAACACCTCCAGCACTTTTTATGACCAACAAGTACACAAGGCACATGCATATACACGGGTATGCGTGTGTGTGTTTATGGCGCTGTGCAATTATTTGTTAGCAGTGCTATATTGTTGTTGTTGTGTCATTACGCGTATTTTTTATGAATGAATGCTTTGGAATGAATGAAAAACGGGCACGACAAAGCGCGCAATTTTCCGCCTGCAAAGTAACAAACAACAACAATAGCAACAATTGTAAATGGCAGTAGGCAGCACAACCGGTCATTACCGTAAATATAATGAAAGACCAGCAGTGGCAGCAACAAACACTTCGCTAATAATGCAGCCACTTAACAATAACAAATACTACACGCTTCTATTAAGTGTTGGCATGTGTGTGTGTGTGAGTTTTCACCAATACATACGAGCAGACGCGCTGACAATGTACGCTCATATACACCCGTTTCTGACAGCAATGTCAAGCAAAAACAATGCCAACAACGACGAAAGCAGCAAATCAACCCACAAATATATATGTAAAACTTGCCATATACATATACATACAAACATATAGTATGTATATATATATATATATCATAAATATAAATATATATATATATGTATATATAGTATGTTTCTGCTCACTTATGCTAACAACTTGTTTTATCTTAGCGCTTGGGCGCTCAAACGACTTACCTTGTTGGCGAGTGTGTGGTCGCGAGCGGCACGATCGAAGAGCGACGCATCGATTCCAAAATTGTCGATTCGGTCACTGGTAAAAATTGCAAATCCTCAATCGAAGGCAAACGATGACGTCCGACCACCTGATCGAGTTCTTCTTGTACGCGTCGCATCGCTTCGGGGTTGCGCAGCATAAATACATTGATCCAGAGCAAAGTAGTTTTGATTGTCTCCATGCCCGCGGAGAAAAGATCGATGATGACTTGAACAATTTGTTCCTCTGTAGAGGGAAAGATACGAAAAAAAACGATATTAATTAGTAGTGCCAGCAGCAAAATTGCAACAAAAAGCTTGTTAACAACAACAAAAAACAATTGATATTTTCTTCAGCTAACGGCTAGTAACAATTACTCACCATGATTTTTTCCATCGAACAGTTCCTCATCGCGTCCCTCGTCCTTCGCCTTCTCAATTTCAGCCAAATAGAAATCGACTAAATCGCGTATATTCGTGGGATCATAGGTCTTTTTGTGTTCATCGATGACGTCACGATAAAAACGCTGCATTTCCTCGCGATTCTTGGCGATTTTCGTCTTGGCAGTCAAAATCGAGGGGAAGTACTGAACGGTGGGTATGTAATCGACAGTGTGTATTTCTCCAAACAAGCGCATACCCTCTTCGATGAGAAAATTGAAACGGCGAAATTTTGGATCATCAATGGAGAAACGTACAGACATCATAATATTACAGATAACATTGCTAACGGCTACGCTGATAGCGGGCGCCATGTCCATGGGTTGACCATCGGAGACGCGTAAATTGTGTATGTATTCGTGTACTTCGGTCTGTGTGGAGGAAAAATTAGAGGAGAGGCAAACAAATTAGTTAGACATGACATAATAAATGGCAAGACAAATGAAGAAATAATGGAATGTCGAGAGTTATGGACAAGTCAAATGTGTTATTTGCTTGCAAGATTTTTGTGGATGGCATCTATGTTTTTAATAAAAACTTTATTTTACAACTGAAATCGTTTATTTATTTATATTTATCTACTTTCGAAATTAAGCAATATAAATAATTGTGGAACATAAGTGGGTGGTATGTGTACTATATGTAGATTGTGTGTGGAACATACTATTTTTCAATTACTGAAGTGATTAAAAAATCAACTCACCATAATACGCTTCTCCATGACATGCTTTCCGTTTCCCATATAAGTCATACCGAATTGACGTAGTTTTTCGTGCAGAAAACGACGCTGGTCCTTCCACAATTTTCCGGTGCTATTGATGATACCTGTATGTATGAAAGAAATAGAAAATACTAGTTAGATAAATTTATAATATACATTGTTTGCTAATTATTAATAATTAATTAAAAATAGGGTTCAGTTATTAATTAAATTAATGAATATTGTAATTTTCTTCATATATGTACATATTTTGATGATGATTTGATATTTTGTTATATTTTCCTTTGCTTAATTTTTTTACAAAATTTAATTATGCCGTTATTTGTACTTAGTATAAAATCCCTGTCAAAGTTTCACGAGCTTCATTTTCGACGCTTTGGTGAAATTTTAATAAAATTCCATGCGGAACCCTCTTAACGCGGAGAAAATGGAATTTTTACGTTTCTCATTTAATTTTTTTTTTGCAAATTACTTCGCATTGCACACCAAAGAAATTTTTCGTCAAACAAATTGCGCCAAAATAATCCCACAAAGGACGCTAAACGGAGGTACAATGAAGAAGAAATGCATATCTACAATTTTAAAGAGCAAACACACACACACACGTACCCTTTTTGAGTGCATTGGTATGCATGTATGCCCACCAATTAATTTTGAAAATTTTTTCCACGTCCGTTATTGACAAATAACGCAAGACACTGTGTTTCACGGTGTTTACGAAAAAAAAGATGGCAAAAATTTTAGTTTTTTTTTCAATTTTTCAGCTGTGGTAATTGAGGTAGTCTTAAGCCAAATGAGATGTGAAATAATGCAAGCAAAAATAAAATTGAAAAAGAAAAAGCAAATAACGGTGATCAAAGCGAAAACCGAAGACGCTGAAACGGAACCATTTCATGGCAACTGGAAATCGCCGGTTCCAAAGCGTGAGGGTAACAAAAGATGTATGCATTTATGTGTGAGTGTGTGTGTGTGTGTGGAAGCCTGCCTGACTGTCCTACTTAATGCTGCAGAAACACACGCACAGTTGAAAGTAAAGGAAATTTACGAAATCGCGCACGCGATAAGCCAAACATGCACGAGAGTGTGTGATAAAAGTGGTAAAAAGCCAATAAAAGAAATTTAATCGAAATAAAGATGAAAAAAACACAAAAAAGCAAGCAATATTTACAAATGTTGCACAAGCGGAAAACAGCAACAAAAAAAACAAAAAAGGCAAAAAGTAATTGGTTTTGGAAGTGAAGTGTGGAATGATAAATAAATAATGCACTTCTCGTTGCTTAAGCAAGAGCACCTGCTGTAGCCATGCGAAAACAACAACAAAAAGCGAAGCAAAACAAAAAAATCAAACGACAATGGCAATATGCATTTACAACAAAATATTTCAGCAACAACACAAAGCGGAAGAATTGCGATATAAAAGTAAAATTATTTTAACAACTGCAGAAGGGAAAAACGAAAACAATTTGCATATAAATTGCGCGTAAAATGCCGCGTTAAAAAAACGTGATCGTCGTAAAGTGTGAAAAAGTTTTCAATAATCAGTCGCAAAAAAATGTTAAAAAGACCGCAAAAAATGTAATATTTAATGCAATATTAATTGATATGTGCACAAATGAAATTTGATTTGCTTTCCAAAGCGCATGAAATGTAAATAAAAATCATTAATAATTAAAAAAGCAAAAAAAAGTTAAACCGTTTTATTGTTCAATAATTTATGCCGATTTTGCACTTTTCTGTTGTGTAGCTCTCACAATTTGTCTTGTTCTTGCTTGTTTATCAATTATTCATGATTTCCTTTTTTTTCTTATGCGTTCAAATTACGGTGAAATACAATTTTTTCACTTTTATTATAAATTTTCGCGTAAATATTTAATATTTTACTGATTTTTTTGCTGTTTGTGTAAATTGAAATTTTTGACGTATTTTTTTCAATGTCAATCGAATTGCATTGCACAAAATTTTTTGGAAAAAAAATTAAGAAATTTTTTTTTTCACAAAACGCCAATTTTTATTAAATTTGCCAAAATTGTATCATTAAATATACTTTATTTGGTTTCATAAAAGAGCATAGGTTTATTATCAAATTTCATTAACAAAAAAAAAAAAAATTATTTTATTTTATTAAAATATTCCCTTTTTGCTTGTTTTACACTTCAAACTCACATCGAAATTTATATATTTAATAAAAATAAAATCATTACTCACTGAGTTCATTGAGTGGGCAGTGCGATTTTGTCCGAGAAGCACTTACCAACCAAATGAAACATTAAAAAAAAAAATTTTTTTAAGAAACAATTATTACAAATTCACTATATTTGTATTAGTTTAAATATATTTACATAAACATCATTTATTATATTTATTTCATATAAAACTAAAAAATAATTTTTAAAATAAAAAAAATTGTAATATTTGATATAAATATATATATTGCAGAATAATACCTATTCAGCAATATTTTTGTTTTTTTGTGTCTGTAGTGCAAATTTTAATTTTTCTTAAATTAAAACTTAGATTTTTAAAGTTTATCCAACTACAATTTTGAAAGAAATTTTGTAAAAAAGAAAATGTTTTAAGAGCATAAAAATGTATTTATTTTACTTAAAACAATTTAAAATAATCATTACTTTTGTCAAAAACTCTTAATAAATAAAATTATTATTTTTAATAAACAAAATTTATTTGTCGAGCTTTAAATTTAAGTCGATTTTTAAAGCCATAATATTTTCACTTCAGAAATAAAATTAATATTAATGTTATTAGCAAATTGATTGATATTTATTACGAAGCCATTTCATTTAATTTTATAAATTTAAGCTGATTTTTTTTATGATATTCTGTTTTCATTTTTGAAATGAAATTAATACTAGTAATTAATATTTTAAATAAACAAAATATTTTTTTAATGTTTCAAATTGATTTCGTTTCTTTGAAGCCATAATATTTTCACTTTATATATTTTTAATGACCAAAATATTTTTTTTTAATTTTTCAAATTCTATTTTTTTTTAAAGCACAAATATGTTTTCAAATTTGAAAATATAATTTTCATGCTTCAAATTATTTTATTTTTAACACGTATTTTAATCTACAAATTTTCCCTAAAACAATACAAACCACTAACTTTTCATTAAACTACACTACAAAATGTATTTAATGGACATTTACTTACCAAATCCATTCAGGGTTTGCATAAACGGCGTGTCCGGCCTGCCGGTGAACTCCTCACGCCTGAAGCATTCACGTATCATTTTATAATCACTCATCACTACGGTCAATTGATTGCCCAGACGCGTGGAGAAAAGCGAGCCATATTGCTTGGCCAACTCCATGAAGCGTGTGTGCTTCTCGTTGCCCATGAAGAAGAGGTAGCCGATAACAGGAAAACCCCATGGACCCGGTGGTAACTTGCGCAGCTCCCGATAGGCGTTCAAGAGCCTTTGCAGAAAGCAGATCACTGTCAGCACTGTGAAGAAGACGAGCAACAGGTGTTGCAGATCGTTGGTTGTGCATTGTCGCGTTAGCAATTTAATAAAATATGAGTTTGCGAACATTTTGTCTGCTTCAATTTGATTTTTTTAAAAAGTTTTCTTTAACTAAATTTTTTACTGCAAAACCGCTGCAGTTTTAGTCTTTCTTTGCAATATTTTTGACACTTTTGTTTTAAAATATTTTATTGAAAATATTTGCTCTTAAAACTCTCTACTTGAACACATTAAATATTTTAACACTTTTCTTTGCTGTTAATTTTTGTAAACATATTTTGCTTAAATGTCCGTTAATGCATTTGATTTCTTGTAATTTTTACAAACTCTTAAAGCCGACGCTTATTTACTGTGTTGTATTCATTGAAAATGTTTAAAAAATTAAACATAATTTCATTTCACGTTACTGTATTTAATATTTTTTTAATTGATTATAAAGCGCGCTTGAAATTTTATTTTATTTTCTTTGAGTTGTTAATTAATGAATGAATTGTTTTCAACACTCGCCAACACCAAATTCAGACGACTTCGCGTTGTGCGTTAATAGATTTCGACTAATGGCCCAGACGTATGTCCTTGCTACTTTTATAAGCGTCAGAGCTCATAGCCGACCTCACGAACGAACCAGCGACCATGCGAGCGTGCGAGCGAGCGAGCGATCAGCGAAGCGACGTTCTACGCTCTACGATCGTGTTAAGTGTTTGAGCCAGTCAAAAATCAATCTTGCCGAAGCGCTAACCAAACTAAAGCGAAGCAAAAACGAGGTGTGCAAAGCGTAACGCAGCGCAGCGCTGCAAGCCGAAACGAACGAACAGCAACAGCCGATGGCAGCACTATAACAGTGGGGTGTGCACACCCCCGCTGCTGTTGCCATCACCGCTACTCTACAAATACCAACCACTGCTGTTGTTGCCAATGCTGCTCTAATCAAGCGGCAAATCGTATAGAACGACTGTATCGGGCAAGCGTTGGAGCACAGCTACTTGAATATATAGCATGGCCGAAAAGTGAGTGGATAAACGTTGAAAGAGCTTATGATCAAGCCGTGTGACCACTCAAACACTAGACGGGCTTAACCAACAAGTAAAGCTTAATACTCGCTGTTTACACGCTAGCGCACGCTCCCGCTAATGATAAGCACGATTTTTAGCCGGCTTTTTAGTCAGCTCAGAATGTTTGCATGAAATTAACTTGAGTGCATTCGCTGCGCGCAACATGTTTGAGTGAATTTCAAAAAGCAAAAAAACTAAACACTAAAATCACTCGAACGCCGCTGAAGCGCGATCTTTTTGCTCAAACTTACTCACTAGGCGTTGGAACTAAATAACGATTCTCTCCGCGCGTTGGCGCTACGGCTCTCTGTTTATGTTTTGCTATGCCTTGCGTTTACGCTCTTTGTTATTTCGCTTATCAATTTGTTCGTTGGTTCGAGCACATGTGGGTGTTATCAGTAGCGCAACAGGGGCACAACACGATCGGCATATAACGGCCGCTCACAACGCGTTCCTAAGCTTATTATGAGCTCAATTATGGTAATGTGTGTGTGAGTATGTACGCATGTGCGTCAGCAACTGCCACGGATGAATTGTTTTTATTAAATACATTTAAATAATTAATTAATAACCAAATTAACTAATTAATGGCGACCTTTTGCAGCACGGAACTATTTTAATATTCGCTTCTTGGAATGCAATTTGCAGAAAGGTCACATATAATAAATATATCATGCACCACGCGGAAGTGGCGCGCTACTTGTAAATATTTATCAATATTTTCTAAGTCAAATACGCATAAAATCTGTTGCTATTGTCGAGGCCTCGAGTAACTGCACTCAGCGCACGAAAATGCAGCTCCGCGGAATATGCAAAGAAAAAGCTAAATTTTGAAATTTTTTTCTACTCGAAAAGTCAACTAAGCGCTAAAACAAATTAACAACAATTTGCATTTCAGGTCAATGGCATAGCCTTCGTTGAAATATAACAAAAAGAAGATCAACACAATAAAATGGAATGAAACATTTGCAAATAAGAAATCGAAAAAAAAATTATAATTAAAATATAACAAATCGTTGATTAAAAAAATGTAATCATAGGTGAGGTAGCAAGTTGAATGAAATTCTCCGCATCGCACTTGTATTTGAAAAAAAATACTTATTATTTGGTATTTATGAATGCGCATGGGCTAAACGCAAAGCTAATATGCAAGCAGTGGGTATAATGACCCCAGTCATTGCAATTTCACCTGGCTTTATTAGAATCAAAGCTGTTGATAAGCGGCTAGCAGCTTTGACTACAACCAAAACGGGGAATTTTCTGTATTTTTAAAAATATTTTTAAAAAATTAACGAGTAAGTAAAAATTTCCAAAAATTTGAGAAAATTGGTCCTAATTTAATTGGAGTGAAAATTAATTTTCATCTTTTGAAAAATTCACGAACTTATTTAAAACCAAAAATGGAGCATAGTAGTGTTAAAACTAATATATATATCTGTCAAAAAGATGTCAAATAAATATATAGAATTATAATTTTTAAACAAAATTGTACTTTTTTTAAACTAAAACTTTTTTTCTTTACACTTATCAGGACTACTAATCAATTTGTATTATCCTTGCACTGTTTACTAGCATAACATAACTAACAGTGTTCTTTTGTAACTAAATAATTTTTAAAGAAAATTGGCGACTTCAAAATTAATATTATAAATTGAAAAAGCGCTCTATCGTATGAGTTTTTGAATATTGTTGGAGAACACAAGACATAAAGTAAACGTTGAAAGATTACAGTGTATTTATGATGATGAATTTTTCAAACTAAATTGAAAGTAAGGCATGATTTTAATTTCAGGAATAAATAAGATACATTAATTGTAATATAAAAAAACTCATATACCATAAATAGTGTTGCCTACATTTGGGAGCGAAAATAAAAAGCCTAAAGGTTATGGCAATTATTTGACATTATCTGAGAAAATACTCTCGCTATAATAAAAACAATCCTTAAGATACAGAGCGACCCAATAGTATGCGTGTTACTGCGGAAAGTGCAAATGCACCTTCATTTAAAAGTAATGTATGATGTGTGCTACTAGATACCGAGCGGCACCGCAATGAGTGTTGAGCTTATTCGATCTTAAAAAGTTAACAAAACGTTCAAAAGGTTGCAATATGGATATCAAAAGAAAGAGGCTTGAGAAGGCTTAGAAATGGAAATATTTGGTAATTTGTTTAGTTTCTTTTTTTAATTTAATAGCAAACTAAAGAGGTTTAGTCTGATTACTAGATAGGTTCAGAATTGAAAACACTTTTTGGAAGCTTTGCCAGCTGTATTCAAATTTGTATTTAATTGATTTGCGAAATATTATTTCTGTGGCAGATTTTTTTTTTTTGAAAAGGGTTGGCCAACATTCAAATAAAATGTTTTTTGAAAATTGATAATATAAATACCAATATTTTAAAAAGGATCTATGTTTTATGGTATATGTTGCACCTCAGTTTTCACAAACCAATAGTACCAATACGAAAATATTGTAATCAAAATTAAAAATAGTTTTTAAGTTCTATAAAATTTAATCGTAAAAAACCCCCGAGGCTAAACACTCACACCGAAATTATTACTTCAAAAAAATTTACTGCATTTAAAACGCTTGGACTTATTGATTGTATGTATTTATTCTATGAATTTAAATAAGGCGCCAATAAATTGCTCATAAAAAATAATCACATAATATTATTTCCTAAATTAGCTGTGCAGAGATTAATATGACCGCTTCATCTTGAGAAAAAGAATACCAAATCAGCAAAAATTAAAAAAAAAATGTGGCATTTCAATATACTGTGAAAAATGTTCGTGTCATTTGGTTATCAACTCGCGCAGCTTTGCTGTTATCATTTCAGGTATTTTGTATTTTAGTGCTTCTTCTATTGTATGCTTGCATAAATGCTCGCTTGTCCGCTTTTTTCGGTTTTCTGCATTCTAGGCAGCGAAGATTAACGTATTCTTACATTTAAATAAAACAAAAAGAGTCGTGTACATTTTTTCCACTGTATTTTTAATTATTATTATTAATTAACAATTCAACAATTTACCACAGCACACATTTATATCGCACCGGTTTCCAAGACCTGATAACTTAAAAACTAGTAACTAGCATAAATTTATGTAAGCACTAACTTATAAAAATTAATATTTATTACACCATCGGTTAATGTTTTAAATATCTGGATAAATAAATAAATAAAACAATAATATAAAGATAAATAGTTTTTTATGAGCTTATATAAAAAATAATGAAATTCTAAAATATATTCATTAGCAGGTTATTAACCCAGACAACCCAAGCATATTATGTGTAAATATGTATGCTTTATAACTTTTATTACTATTAAGTTTGCCATGATGTTTGTAACACTCAGAAGAAAACGTCGGAGACCCTATAAATTATATACAAGTATATCTAAATGACCGGCATGACGTGCTGAATCAATTTAGCCATGTCCGTCTGTATGACCGTCTGTTCGTCCATCCGTCTGTATGTATATACGCGAACTAGTCCCTCAGTTTTTGAGATATCGATACAAAATGTTGTGCATGACCTTTTCTTCTCAAGAAGCTGCTGTCGGAACTGCCGATTTTGGACTACTATAGCGTATAGCTGTCATACAAACTGAGCGATCGGAACCAAATCCTTGTATGATATATATATATTATATTTTTTATTTGGCAATATATCTTCTCCAAATTTGGCATAGATTATTTTTTAAAACAACGGTACAATCACCGAAGAAATTGTTCAGATCGGACCAATACAGCATATAACTGCCATACAAACTGATCGATTAAAATCAAGTTCTTGTATTGAATCTTTCGTATTTGTGAAGCGTATTAGCTTCGGTGCACCCGAATAACGGTTTTTCTTGTTTCAATTTTATAATTGATTCATATAAAAGTATTCATTAAATAATTTTGTCATTTAATATAATATTTAAATTCATAATGGAGCATATTTCGAAATTTTGTTTTCTTTATCAGTCTTAAAAGCTGTCTAAGCAATTGGAGAAATCGTCTGGGGTAAATAATGGATATTACAATAGAGATTTCAAATTAAAGAGGCTTCATTGTATTGAAACAAGCCTTCAATGAAATTGATAAAATAAATGAAATAGTATACTATCACATAGGCATCGAATTACAGAGACTTAAGCAAACATTTTGTCGGAAAAATATATGAAATGTTTAGCCACCCCCCAAAATTTTGGAAATATTTGGACGATAAAGAAGAAATATAAAATGTGTATCAAACTAAAAAAGCTTAAGTAAGTTTACAGTAAAAAAAAATATTTTTGTAAAAAAATTATTTAAAATTTTTTCCTTTATTTATAATTTTTTTATTCAAAATATTTATACAAATGATAAAAAAATATTAATATAAATAAGATTCAACATCACATTGCAGATATAAAATAAACGTATTATATTAGAATTCGACAATTCATTTTCCAAATATTTTTGCTATTTATCAATCCATCTCAAACTCAAACATTTTTATACCTCAGCAGTAAACATAAATTGTGTATATGGTAAATAATGCTGTTTTCACTTTTTCAACTAAAAAGAGGCAACAAAACCACAAGAAATAAAAATTCAAAATTTAACCAATCACACACATACTGTCGCGTGTATGTATGTCATTTGCTGTATGAGCCAGTATTGAGGCCACAGAGGACACACGTGCTCCGGTTTCCTGCTCTGAAATATATACGTTTTTGTAACACACGAGCAAAACTTTATACACATACAAAAATATATGTATGTATATAAGTAAAAGCCGGAACATTGCCATGCAGACGTGCTCGGCCTGTGACTCAGAAGTGAAGCTTCAAACTTGAAAGCGAAAGTGAAGCAACAATAAAAGTGAAAAGAATGACTTAGAATGCCACACTTGTGCTGGCGCACAATG